ACAGCACTCAAGACTGACTGACTTATCTGTAAATTGCTTTACTTTACATATAATTATTTCCTTGATATTTTTATGTTAACTTACTTAAAACGATAAATCAAGCGAGTAATAAACTATTACTTCCAACTGCATAATGATGATAGTGTAGTGAACAGAACACAGGTTGAGACAATCGAATTATATTTAGTACAACATTACAGAGTTACTTGGTAAAATAGAAAAACCATACTATAATATCTAATTTGCAAAATGTTCAATAATTGTCTCGAACTTCATTGTTCTTACATTCTCATAGTAATTGCTTTCTATTCCCTCTCTTCCTTTCTTGATCTTCCCCATCTTCTGCTGCCTGACTCGCGTTATATACTACTTATATCAATATAAGTAACACGCACCACAATAGAACTACATATAGGTTTCTTTAAAAATGGAACCAAAAACTTATTTAAACAATTCCAATTCCATTAATTAATTTTTTATTGTTCATCTAAAAGATACAAATTAAAATTTGTTTAAATTCACTTCATTTTACAAAAATCAAATTAAGCAAACATAAATCGAAGGATAAATGATTTAAAAATGTAAGTACTACAAAAAAAAGAGAAAAAAAGTAGAAACGAATAAGCATAATCATCATTTTGTAATGAATAATAAAAAGAAATAAATCAGAATGTATTACTCTTTTCAAGTAGTAGATGTTAACAAATTAAGTTTTTTTTCGATGAATTCAATAACTAGAACAAAATCCATTACATATGTGTCAGTTTAATTTTCCTAGAAGTAATAAGCATAGACACAATGTAGGTTCCAATGAAATTTTAGGTTCTTAATATTGTATAGTTCTCTGAATTCATTGGCTTGATTTTGAAGTTTTTAACACTATTCGCAACATCAACAGAGATGCTGTCAAAATAACTATTGTAACTAATGGTTGGAGACTCTTGGTGACATGGCTCAGAATCGATCACAATGGCGTCGGTGTATACACCCTTTGTCTTCCTTTAAACTATCAGATTAAAATCGCTTCATATCTTTCTTTCTACGTACTAAATCATTCTTCCTGTACTATATCGTTATATGCTATCTTTCTTTTATATATTACCACCATTGTATTAACTACTTCTATGAATTCAGTGTTCATCTTGTCGTGCTAATGAGGTATGGCAAATTGGACCGATGCATATGTGTGCCTGGTCCTACATTGTAGCTGACTGACTGATGATGTATGTTAATTCAGTATTTCTGACACAAAACTACAGGACTTGTTAGTAAAATCTAACAATCATAAAGTAAATGCTTAATTTGCAAAATGTCCACCAATTGTCTCAAAATGACTCAAACTTAATTGTTCTTGCATTTTCATACAAATTACATCCTGTTTCCATCCTTTACTGTTCGATCCTCATGTCTCTCTGCTGCTCGACCTTCTGTTCATGAATAACATCATACACTACTTATGTCAATATAAGTAGCACACAACACTACTTCTGACCGTCTTATTTATCCACTCTGATTGGCCTTACATAAATGAATAGATTATACATATGTCAATATATTTATTGACTGTAGATTGATCGAGATACCATATTAATAGTTCTTCAGGACTTTAAAAATCTCTTAATCGAGGATTTTGATACTTTTTTAGGTGAAAATATACCCATATTTGTCTATGTGAATTGACATGTGACGTCAATATGTACATTATCTGCATATCTTTTGCTGTCGTTTAGTAGAAAGACAGGTTCACCTAAAAATGTATTAACACTGTACAACGTACCATAACAATGTTTGGCAACAATGAATAATCAAGCTACGCTAATACAACTATTAAAAATCTAAAACTAAGAATATAAGATTTGGGGCAGAGTCAGAAAAGTACAAATGAAGCAAAAACTGACTGTTAACCGCGTTACTTATGACTAGTAGTTTTGGTATAAGTAATCATTTTTAGTATTGTCATTCAACCAGCCGAAACAAATGTCTAGCATCATAAAACCACGATACTGTTTGTTAGATAACATATTAAAAAAGTAGTTACATCTACCTACATTGGCACACTAAACTTCAAATGAAAGGATGTAGTCCGAATTCGAGTACATAAAGTTGTACTTGGTAAAAAACTTGCTTCAACAGACAAATGGATACCCTTTCACAATAAACAACGATGCTTAAATGTTACTTGATCTAACCCCAAAAAAATCATGTTTGTAATATAATCTTTAAAAAAATTCAGGATTCAGACGATATTTCTTCTGTCAAATTATTCCAGCGATATCATTTCAATCAACTAGATCGGATCTAAACACATCACTTAACTATTCAGCATTCTACAATTTATCCATTAAGAGAAATATTTAAAAATGACAAACAATCAAGTGGAAGCAGTTAATATAATCTGACAATGGAGAAACAGTATGACATTTGAGAAAAAGTCACTGGCATAATAATTCGTTTTTACGAAGAAAATAGGTAGTAGTTTTCATAAAGGCAAGAAATGCCAAGAAGTTTATTTTTGCGTTGACATTAAGATTATATATATATATATACTCTTGTTATGATAAAATTAGTTATTTAGAAGAAAATTATTTCGAGGGACAGAAGAATTAAAATAGCTAAGTATCACTGCAACCGTTGAATATTACCTTAAACCATGAAATGAACAGCAATCATAAAACAGAAAATACATTTCGAGGAAAAAAAGATAACCTAATTGTCATGAAAATGTAGCTACAATACCTTTATTTTCGAAAATTATTATTACAACCTGGTTGAAAAGATAATCATAGTGCAAGTGAGCTACCTCCATCTTTTAACAGTTTATTAAAAATACTTAAAAAGGATTTGAAGTATATTCATCCGATAATAAGGATAACGAGTAACAAACAGCTATGTTATTTAGTTTACTGGTTCTCGTATTCTTTGTTGTGAAATGTCTATAATGCTAGTATAAAGATACAAGTTAGAATTGTTAACACTTGTAGATTATCAGAATATATATTATTCAGAGTAATTTAAAATCTTGTCATATCGCATTGTTCATATTGACTCAGTTGGGTATTTCATTTAGTTATAATAATAAACATGTTGAACAGATGATTAAAAAATAAGTTGTTTTTTGCTTGATAATAAAATACATGCTGAGTTAAGTGCAAAGATACGTATTAACTTTATATGAAAAAAAGGATACATTCGTAAAAGTTGACAAAACATTTTTATGGAGAAAAAGAATATAAGAAACTTTTCTGTTGACTTATGATAAATCAATGAATTCAAAGAAAAGCTAGAATTGATAGAAAGTCACTTCATCCTACTGTTAAAACTTTCAACAGTTTATAATGATTTTCTTAAAATTAAGGTATATATACCCATACATATGTGTTTTATGTGTGATCGAACTGATTTCAAACGATTGCAGTCATTAAAATCTAGTTATAGGAATTTAATTCTTTCCGTTATTAGTGTTAAGGATTGTAAGTGACCAGTCACTTTTGGTATGTATATCGTGAGAGTTTCCTAGATATTTTCGTCAGTCACGAGGAATTTTTTAAGTGTGAATATTAACACTACGATGCAGATAAATCCAGCTGGTGAGTCTCAGACAAAACGGAACGCACGTACCCAATTCCAGTGCTACCTAATATTTAACTTTCCTTCAAAATTACTGTCGTTTTCTAATAAGTGATTTTGTATTAGTTTGCACTGGTCAAGAACGTACACCATTCATTTCTGGAGATTCGCGCTACAATAAAATTATTTTAATGCACTGAAGACGGGCTTTTATTCATAAAGAGAAAATAATGAATTTGTATGGATGAAACAAATGACCATACTTTTATATAATTATTTCTAAAATGACATCCCAACCCTTCAAAACATATAAAGACAGGTTCGTTTACTGTTCATTTGTAAGCGTTGAGACTGTGTATCTGAAACTTGAATTACTCAATACGGACGTTTTTGCAATACAAAATAGACATCAATTTGAGTTGGATATTATGAATAACATCAAATGATAAGTTGGGCACTAACGTTATCAATCAAGTTCAGGTTAAATGTTTGACAGATCAATATTCTTTCCTACTAAGCTATACTGAGAAAATCTCTAGTGCATCAATAAGTGTTTCTTCATGTACCTACTTCTATAACGCTAAACGTTTCTGTTAGTACTGGTAGTCTACAATTTAAGGTGATAGGTTATATGAATTTGACCTCAGTATTGACGATATCGCCATTTCTAATCTTTCACTAAACACTTTAGTTTAATACCACTTCATTTTCCTACTTAATTTCCTTATTTAGAAATAAATTTCAACTCTTTCAGTAATCGATTTATGGAACAGATATAGCGTAGTAACTTGAACCAATCTGCGTTTGTGTAAAACTCCATCAGGTTTATGGTTGATTAAATGTCAATTATTTTCGTATCATACGTGTATAATCAATTGATTGGAAGACGTGTCGAATAGTGGTAGATGACATCAGTTAGTAATGCTATGTCTAAGCACAATCGAGTTGAAAGTAAAACATGTACCAATAAAATTTGATGCAGTTTTATTGATATTTTGATCAGGAGCCTATGCTTCACTAAGCTCTATACAACACAAGTTTATTTTACTAAATGGATTTAAAATCAATTCGACCATAAATATACATCACTGTAAGTTTGATAATCAGAAAAACTGATTGATAAATTTACAATGAAAATTTGACAAGAAATATATCTGATTTCGCACACACACACACAAAAAAAAGGTAAAATTAATCAATCAATGATAATATTGTTTTTTATAATTAATCAATTTAACAATCCATTTTTTCCTCACTAATACTACTATTACTACCACAAACATTGCAAATAACGCTATACTATTACTATGACTACTACAGCTATTTATTTCAATGAAATCAGGCAAAAAAAAGAAGAATGACAAAATAAATTTATCAAAAAAATATGTTTTTTTACAAAATTTACTCTAATTTAAAATATCAAATTGTTTTTATTAGATGGGATAATGTAAAATTTTCTGTAGTATCAAAGGAGATACAACAAATTCATTATCATATAATGATGAACTCATCCATAATCTTAAATTATTATCATTCTTGTCTAAATCCAATCGATCAATAATTCGTTGAACACTGGATAATTTACAATCGTTCTGAAGAAAAAACAAACAAACAAACAGAAAAGATTTCATAGGAAAATCAAAAAAAAAGAAAAAAACTTTCAATATAACAACATGAAAAAGTAGAAAAATAAACCAGTGAAACAAAGAAATAGACGAAACACATTCAAATCTATAAACATAAAAAATGAATTTGATTTAAAATGATAAAACAACTCTTGGCTTATTTTTGTGCATGTTAATATATTACTGTATCTAATGTTTAGAGATGTTGTATATCTGAATTACATTTTTTATTTTTCAAAAGTTGTCAATGTACAACAAGTTTCTTGTTGCCAATTTTTAATAAAGATCAACAACAACAAAATAATTTAGATAAATGTCAAATTTTTAGGTGGATTTAATTTTGAGCAAATATAAAAAAGAATGAATAATAACTGGAAAGAATTGCTAAAGAAAGAGTTGGATGGGGAATTTCGGTGGTTGACATATACTCACTCTTACATGAGAGATAATAGGAGTAAGTAAGTAAATTCAACTTATTGATTATTTGTATCTCAAAGATAAAAAAGTGGCGATAATTGATAATTTAACATAGAAAGATAATAGTACATTTGAATGAAATACTTTCATATGAACTAGTATATCATTACATAATTGTGTACATATATTATATAAACACATTAATACTTTTTAGTTAAAGAAATGTACTGATTATGAAAATGGTTATTCCTTGAAGTTCATAAACCGCTGGAAGGGTTGCAATATGACTAGACCTATGACGTTTTTCGCACCCAAAAAGCGAGTTTATATTACGTTACCATTCAGAGGTGACACAGTTAGTCTCATGTTGAAACAGAGACTTAAATTAGCTATAAACCGGACATTTTATGCAGCCCAACTTATCATTATCGAAAAGACAAGGTCTATGTTTCACCAAAAGCCCAAACAGCACGAAGGCGATTGTGTCACATCCCATTGCGTCTATCAATTTACATGTATGTGTGGAAACACGTACATAGGGAGGAGCAATCGTGATTTGCAACTAAGGGTGGGTGAACATATACCAATTGATAATTTTGATTTTGATTATTACCCTGAAGAAGTCCAGACAAGTTAGCTGGACGAAACGTTGGAATTAGTTATATTTCAATCTCTGAGAATATTTCAAATATAATTTTCACATATATACCAAAATGGTTGCAGAATCAGATGAATTCCAATGGCCAAATAAGATCACAGGATATACAGACATCATCCTTCATTGCGAAACATTTGATTGAAACGGGTCATAAGGTTGACACCAAATCAGCATTTGTAGTGTTATACAAAAGCTTTCAAGGACGTATACTAAGGTTTATTGAAGCCTTGGCTATACGGAAATTGAAACCCCTTTTATGTGTTCAAAAACAATTTGTACTTACACTTAACCTACCCTGGTAATACTGATTTATTATCCAGAGTGGTAATCACATTTGTTTTTGTGTACTTTATTATTTTTCCTTTGTTATGCCTTATCTTTAACCTGTCTAGTTGACCTTTTAATTTTTCATATATAAATGTTCTTAACAAGTATATGTGTGATCAGATTGTTCGAAATGTATTGCGCAAATATATCACATAATTCTGATAAACTACGTCTTCTCATTGCATTATCGAAAAATTATTATGAAAATAAATTTTGATTAAATTGATAGATTTTGTATTATCTAATGGAATAATTTCATACAATCAGTTATATTAACTACATTGTTGAGTTTCATATTATGAAGAAACAATTGTTCAGTACTTTTGAATTTTCAATAATTCTCTAACTAATTACACTAAAAATTCTAATAACAAAATCTACAATCATTCACATATAAATCAATGTTCGTGAGACAAAACAAGCTTAAACAGACAATGACATTTTATCAATTAAAAGTTTAACATAATTTGTAAATGTTTACTGAATGACAAATGACTTCATGATTTTGAAAATAAAAGAACATAATCACAATTATGCTGAATTACAGTTGTAACAAATGATCATTTATATGTAAAGATATACATTCACGAAGACATATTGACTATTTCAATAGAGTAGTGTTATTCAATGATAGAAATTGCTATGGTCAGACTTATAGAACCTGCAATCTATGTGACAATTATCTCTTCATTAATAGAGTCTTTCAAAAATTACGAATATGGATCTAGCAATATTCATATGAAAATCTATAATGTTACTCATTACAAAGATAAAAAGGAATGACTACCGACTACTCAGAACGAATAAAATTAGAAGATGCCAACTATGCAAATTACAATTATTAACTCAATGGCTGAAACAAAATTCCTAAAATTGTTTTGATTTACTTTAACAAAAAAGTCAAATGACTAATCAGAATGTTATTTTCATTTTTGTTCCATACGTAAATTGACTTCGACCTTTAACAGAAAACATCATTCAACTTAAATCTAGTTAAGAGAGCAAAGCTAATAAATTCAAGTAAAAAATGTAATATTCACTGTGACAAAACAAATGAAACTTATCCTGACTATGAATTATGGTTGAGACAAATACAAAAAATTGATATACACGTAATCATTCACGGAACATATGAAATCTCCTCGGAATGGTACATAATTATATGGAACTCCTCAGCAGTGTGCTTCAACCCTTCAATGGTGGTCTAACATTGATCAGTTCATGATCTCAATTACAACTCAACAAACTCTACAACCGTGTACACATAATTATACATGATTCAGAGAGAATAGATCAAATTTTATATTTTTGTCAAAAATTGAAAAAATCACTTTATTTTAGCGTTAATTAGTATTCTCATCAATTACTGACATTTATATAATAATGCTAATAATGCTAATGCTAATAATAATAATAATAATAATAATAATAATAATAATAATAATAATAATAATAATAACTGAAAAAGTTACAAGTAAAATCCTATAAAGATTGTCTAATAAACACTAATTACATTGAATAAATACTTAAACAAACATAATTGGTTTTTGGAAATAAAACTTAATGAGAGGAAGTTAAATGATGAAAATATCTTTCCCTAATTTGAAATATTAATGATAGTACAGAATATTTTTTTATTCTCTTATTTGCAAATTGATAATAATCAGTTTACATTAATTTATAGAAATTTTGTTTCCATGTTTTCAATGGTGGTCTAACATCAATTGGTCCGTGATCTCAGTCAAAAACGTTGTAATCTCCACAATCTCATATTGAAAATAAGAATCTTTTTATTAAGTGAAATTAGACAGTGGCTAATAGTGAAATCCAGTACTTTTCCTCCTATTTAGATCTCGTCAGTGAGGTGTACTTGCATCCGTGTTGATATTCACACTGAGACTCGAATCCAGTACCTTTCCCTTAAAAAAATTGAATATATTTCTAACTAACGGTATTTAGATAAGACAAAAATAAATTAAGGTGAACGATCTTGTTTTATAGTGATAGGTGAGCTGGTGATACTACTATTCGACTGTTTGAACAAAAATAGATAAAACGGAGTTTGAGCTGTTAATTTCATTGTCAGAATTCGAGTCGCTGAATCAAAAAGTTATCTTTAAAAAATCTTTAATAACATAGCTACTGAATAATACTTTTAGTCATAATAAAATACCAAGGTAGTTGACCACACACTACATGATTCAACACATAACTTACATCTTTATCAGCAGACAATAACTCATTTTCATCAGTAGTAAATGATTCCAAATGATAAGCTGGTATTTCATATAAGTCAATAGAGATCCCGTTAGTTTCTGTTGACCGATCAATTAAATTTTGACTATTTGTAATCGATAGATTAGAAAGTCGAAGATAATGAAACCAAGCTAGAATAAGATTTCCTTGAAGTATATCAGGAACCCATAACAAATCATCAGGCCACATATGTTCCCATGGTAAAGATGATGTATTTATTGTTTTATCTTTATTCATTATAAGTGGAAACCAAGCTGGATGCATTTCTTCTGTATAACAAGGCCATTTAACCGTATGATCATTAAGTGTAGGTGTCCAAGTTCGACAGATAAACACATGTACTTCCATACACTAGAAAATAATTTATTTAAAAATTGTTAAATTATAAATAAATTCATAAAAGAAATCATTTGATATCTCGTGAGTAGACTTCTTAAAATCATTTTATTCTGTGTAGTATTGTAAAATATCAAGGATGGTATATCAGTTGTTATGATAACAATCAACTCAAAGATGACATATTTAAGACACAAACAGACAGTAAATAGTTCAGATTGAATACTATAATCAAATACAATGCAAGTTAGACTAATTCTAATAAATAAACATTGAAAACGTCTATTACAAAAAAACAAGAACAGTAAGACTACCAATTTATTTATCATTAGGAATAGTATTAAACTGTTTTATGATATAAGAAGCTTTTAGAAACAAAGATCGTGAATTAATAATTAATTCAATAAATATATAATTCATGTAGTGAAGTACATCAACAGTATTCTGACTCATCAATGATTGCTGACAAACAATGAACAACAAATTAATAAGCGATTGGTTATTTCTAGGTATATATTTCCTAAAAACTTAATACTATTTCAGAAGACAACTTGTTTTATATCAAAGTAAAGTACACTTAATCTATAAGAACATTTAGGAAAAATTGTGTGGAACAAGAAAAATTAATAAGTTACTAGTGCTAACTAATGTTTTTTAATATGTGCATTCGTTTGATTTATCTGTAAATAGAGTACCTATTAGGTTAATATTTGTCAGTAATGTGTTCGAATTTTGAACTCAAGAGGATTGCAGACTTGATTCACACAATCGTTCCACTAATATGTTATAGAATGAACTTCTACAGCAAATGGTATAATAAGCAATGTACATCCTTTACGATCAGTCCCTCTACTGAAAGTGAAATTAGTGAATGTGAGACAATCTAAAAAAACATATAAATAAACTAACCTAAAAACCAAACTACCCACCCATGGGACTACTACGATTGAAACTCTAGAAAAATCTAATTGGGAGTAACCAAAAAATAGGAAACTACTACCAAATATAGAAAAGGGAACACCATGAAGACAACTAGTCTGTACTAGTTCATCACAATGGCATTGAATAGTAGAAAAGAACAACCACCTATTTATTTCACTAATATTGTCACAATAAAGTGACTAATTTGCACTTTTTTATTTCAAGATGTTTATCCAATAGATTCTACCTTTGATGAACCGTCAAATCTCAAGTTGTATGGAGAATTCGACAGAGTTCTGATGACAATCAACGCTTTCATTTTTTTGTACTCTAAAAAAACTAAAATTCCTTAACCCAATAATGAAACATCTTTGATCAGTTATCAAAACTCAGAAGATCAATAAATAATCATTAGTGTATTAAGTATCACTACAGTCATCGGAGAATATAACAAGCCACTGGTCGAAATTCAGTCGGATGAAATCAACCACTACTAGATAATTTTCAATTACTATTCAACTTTCCATATTTTAAATTATCTAACATGAATTGCAACAACCACTAACGATATACACATAGTAATATAAAATTCAAGTTATTGGTGTTCTACAAATTAATAAGATCAAGTCATAAATAAAATCAAAAACATTCATTTATTAATAAATTTGTGAAAAATGTTCGTCAACAAAAGCAGAACATTCATTAATTTGGATTTCGAATTTCTATCACTGATTGATCTTAGTTACAGAATGATCGTAATAATCCAGGAAGCACTAGAATAGTTGTTTAACTAAGATAAATCAGTTTTGAAAAAAAATATGAAATTCAACAATCTCCACAAATCTTTTGATTACAGTATGAATGTCTAGTAATAAGTGGTCAGGAGCATATACAATATGACTTCAAAACACATTCGAAATATTGTTTATTTTTAATACTGTAGTCAAACATTTTGCGGCTAATGATCTCGTTATTAAAATTTTTACTTCGATTTAACCAAATAATTACGTATGTTAACTAATCTATACAAGTATATATGTAACATATCTACAGTGCGGGATTTATCGGTTAGATTACTTAACATTTAGCATAAAGATGTTGAAGGTTCATCCTTTTGTGCCAGCTTAAGCAGTCACTAACTTTCATAAAAAACGAAATCAGCCTTAAACTTCAGTATATTAATCTGTACTTGGTAAATATATTACATTTTAAAAATATCCCATACAACTGTAGATTTACGAATAGATAGAAGGAAATTTTCTTTGAATTATAACTAGGTTTAAATTTGACTTGAATGTTCTTTTAAGAGATGTATATCCGTTTTTATGGCTTATTTTATCTTTATAGAAAGACTGAGATAAAAATAAAGTTATCACTGTGAAATCACTAGATTATTGGCCGAATATTTCAGAGACTACACTACAAAACACATCAGTTAGTTATTCTACATTAATTTTATTGTTGTGTGTTGCATTCAGCTGTCATACGAAGAAATGGACATTAGTTAGAAATTTATTAATTCAGGTGGTTGAGTTCCCATGCAAAAACAGTGGACGAGAATGACTGATTACTGATATCTAATATATACCTTAAGAGAAGTATGATTCATTTATAAAGTGATAATTAAGTTTTAGAAAATCTTTGATTCAGAAGCTAGGTGATATTTCATTTTCATTCAATTGTGATCTATGATTTCTTTCGACTTTTACTAACATTCATAATTGAGCGTATATATATAACACGCTAGTTTTTAATTAATGCTACGTTTGACGAAATTACGATATCATCTAAAACCGGCAGACAAAACGAAAGTCAGTAAAACAACAACTGGACAAGCTAAGCAACTCCATTGAGCTCCAGCTCTGACAACTAGAGGGAAAAGATCATATTCAGTCGAGGGGAATATTACAAATGCAGTCAAAAGCATGAACGAACAAGCACTCAACTCATACATACATATACGGTACAGTTCTTGATAAACTTCACAAAATAGCTTACTAAAAGAGCAGAGCAACCAATGACATTTAAGGTGCTTCCGAGTGAGAAATATAAACTGAAGGTGAATGTGGTCATTTGGAGATTTTGGCATGAAAATGAGAAGTTCGAATTTCTATGTTGAAGATGCGATAGTGATACGTTTACGAAGTGATTTCTACGGATCTAGCATCCACATCAAACAAAAAAAACTCTACGGATAAATTATCCACCCTATAGAGAGCGATTTCACGCATGTGGAATGCGAATAGTGCTTGATTTCAACTGAGGCTTACAAACTGTAAGTTGAAATAATGGATTAATAATGAAATAATTTCTTATTTGAACACCAAACAGTATCTATTAGCATCCCCAGCACTTTAGTAAATGTAACCAAATATATTTTTGTCAAATACCTGAAATTTTTTCATCATATAAAATGAAAGCGCTTCACCACCAAAAAACAAATAAATGCATTGAACAGTAGGTTTATGTGCACACTAATTCCTTTAAAACTACTGATGATAATTATTTCGATAAATGTATTTTGAAAATAAACAAAGATCATGACAACAATAACAATGTCTTCAAACTATTACACATATTAATGCAGTGTATGTTAGAGGAGATTAAAACAATAAAGTAGAATATCGTTAAGGCTATTGTGCAAACAAATACATATATCTATCTATCTTATAATATTTTAACCTCAATTCAGGATTTCAATTTACTTTAGAATTAGTAGAACAATATATAAATGCTGATCGACTGGAAGGGGAAATTATATGTGGACACACTGTGCAGACACAAAGATATACTATTTGAAAAAAGGATTTTTATAAATACTTATATATTCATAACATCATAAATGGGTATTTGATCCTATTTAAAACTAGACATAGTTGAATGTAATCCCACTTCAGTGTTGGTCTCCACATAGAGGTTCAAAACCTATATGTACTACAAACAAATAAATAATACGATTAAGTGGTTATTTTATTTTTCAAGAAATGTATTACTTAAATAAATATGACAGTGGGCATAAAGGATGAGTAGGTTCGCAAATACGTAGTTTTTCACTGCATAAAGAAAAAAGAAAATATATAGTTATCATTTCAATTTAGTTGTGCGTCATTAGCATCAAGAAAACACTTCATTCAGGATTACTAGTTATGAACACTGATGGGACCATTTTATATGGAAAAACATAGATCTATGACCTCAGTAAAACGGCGATACTAACTGTTCATTGAATAAAAAGTGGCACTGAGATCTCAAGGCCATATCATTATCGTTTAAGGACAGATTTAGTGGTCATTCAATAAGCACGGTCATTTAAATATTCTATCACATTGTGTAGAACAAGATTTGCAGAAAATCAATTAATTTTATCCTGATAATAATAATAAAAAACAATTTTAATCATGGATTAACATAATCCGGACAACCATTAAAAAGCCCTAACTCATTGGACAAGTGTTTTGACTTACTTGGAAATCGCAGTGAAATTATACTACACTGACAAATCAATCAGATCTCAGATAGATTTCAGGATTATTGTGTATGTTAGAAACAAGAATGATAAATTTACATACCCTTACTACTAATTTTACTGATATGATAATTCAACATTTACAAGATGTCAGAATGGTCAGCAAGATTACTAAATGTGATTTCGGACATCGAATTTTATGATAGAAAAGGCTCAAAATCAGAAGATTAATTACAAAAAAGTAAGGAATGTCGAAACAGAAGCAGTAAGTAGTATCTTTTTTAATCAAACTGGTAGATTTTCGGTATACTATGAGCTGGGGAAAAATGTTCTATAATTAAAAAATATCTGCAACTCAAGGACTATTCTTTGGATAGATAATTGGAAAGTAGATATAGGTCCTCCAAAGTAAAAATCATAATATTTGGGACATCAGTTCATCGCTCTAAACCCACTCTTGAACTTCGAAATGTTCTTCTATATACTCGATTAAGTGATGACTTTCTTGATTAGCAAGCAGATACCTAGAAAATGAAGACAAGATTATTTGTAAAAATTCACCAGACAAATGTGAAGTTTTTGTAATTTGATTCAGTCTTAATCTACGCAATAATTGTATTGAAAGCGA